CCGTCGCTGGTGGCCGGGTCGAGGAGGCCCATGTTGGCGGGGGAGTAGTAGCCGGGGAGGACGATGTGCACGCCAATGGAGGGCTGGCAGATCTTGCGCACCTCGCCGTCGGCCATCGTCCGAATGGAGTCGGTGAAGGGGCCGGTGGCGTTGATGACGGTCTTCGCGCGGACGTCCCACTCCTCGCCGGTGGTCATGTCGCGGAGGCGGGCACCGTTCAGCTTGCCGCTGGCCGGGTCCTTGCTCAGCGACACGACGGCGGTGTGGTTGGCGACGGCCGCTCCGTAGCGGGCCGCCGTCAGCGCAATGGCCACGTTCATGCGGGCGTCATTGTGCTGGCCGTCGTAGTAGACGATCGCCCCCTTCAGCGAGTCAGACTTCAGCATGGGAAAGAGCTCGAGGGCGTTCGTCTTCGAGAGGAAGTAACTGGGCTTGAGGTTGCGACTGCCGGCCACCAGGTCGTAGCACTTGATACCGGCCCAGAAGTAGGGCACCTGCCACCACTTGTAGACGGGCAGCATGATGGGCAGGGGGCTGCTCAGGTGGGGGGCAATTTCGAGGAGGTTGGCGCGCTCTTGCAGCTGTGAGAAATGGGAATAGGTTTAGGAAATGATCAACAACTAAAAAGAAGGAGAAAAACTCACCGCCTCGCGGACCATGTGGTACTGCTCGTAGTCGAGCTTCATGATGGCCTTCNGGGGGGCAATTTCGAGGAGGTTGGCGCGCTCTTGCAGCTGGGGAGAAAGAGGGAAGGGAAGGTATAGGTTTAGGGAATGACCAACTCCCAAAAAGAAAAAATTCAAACTCACCGCCTCGCGGACCATGTGGTACTGCTCGTAGTCGAGCTTCATGATGGCCTTTTGCAGGTAGCGGACGCCGCCGTGAATCAGCTTCGTCGAGCGACTCGAGGTGCCCGAGGAGAAGTCGTCCAGCTCGACGAGTGCAGTGGAGAGACCTGGAGTTTTGGTAGAATTTAGGTAAAAATTTTGAACTTTCTTTTCTTCAAAGAAGATCTTCTTCACTTACCTCGAGTAGCGGCGTCCAGGGCGACGCCGGTGCCGGTGGCGCCGCCGCCAATGACCAGCACGTCAAAAACCTTGTTGGGCGACTTGAGCTTGGCGAGCTGCTCCGCTCGGCTGGGCAGAAACTTGCCGGCCAGCGGCTCCGGCATTCTCGAGTTGGTCGAGTCGGCGATGACGCGGGAGCGCTGTTGGTGGTTGGTAGAAAGAGAGGGTAAGTTTGGAATATAAAAAATAGAAAAAAAAGACTTACCGGAGCGACCACCTTGTAGGTGGTGTAGGCGGCANAGAGGGTAAGTTTGGAATATAAAAAATAGAAAAAAAAGACTTACCGGAGCTACCACCTTGTAGGTGGTGTAGGCGGCGATGCCGGTGCCCGCCGAGTAGACGAGCAGTTTGCTGATCTTGAAGCGGCCCATCTGAAAGGCGGCCATGCTGTTGCTGCTGGGATAATACTTGCTTGCAAATGCAGATCAAAGAGAGAGCGAGAGAGCAGAGAGGGAGAGGAGATCAAAGTCCTCTAAGCTATTATTGCAACTCTTCAGCTTCTATTTCAAAAGCACTTCTTCTTCCAAAACGGTNAATGCCGGTGCCCGCCGAGTAGACGAGCAGTTTGCTGATCTTGAAACGGCCCATCTGAAAGGCGGCCATGCTGTTGCTGCTGGGATAATACTTGCTTGCAAATGCAGATCAAAGAGAGAGCGAGAGAGCAGAGAGGGAGAGGAGATCAAAGTCCTCTAAGCTATTATTGCAACTCTTCAGCTTCTATTTCAAAATCACTTCTACCAAAACGGTGCTGGCCAACACTGGCAAGGTGGGCGCCTTTTAAACCGCCCAGCGGGTGATTGTTGTCGCTTGCAATGTTCCAAAGTTGCTTCAGCGTTTCGAAAACTGCCTGGTTGTTCAACAATTTGGCGCCGGTCGATTGTTGTAATAATAATGAGAAAAGACAACAGTGCTGAGCTGCAATCAATAAATATGCAGGCTGCTACCAGATTTGTTTGATAAGTTTTCGGTGGGTTTTCTTTCGGTTTGATTGTTTAGGTTGGGTTGGAAGCGTGGACGGAGAAGATTGGTGGTGGTGCACGCGGAGAAGAGGCGGCAGCTTTCGATGAACGGCGGTGGCAAATGGAAGTGAAGTAAATTAAAGTGAGAAGCCGTGTAGAGGTGAGAGAGATGTGTGCTTCAGTGCAATGTGACAGACGATAAGAAGTGGATGATAAGAGAGAGAGTACACCGACAAGTCGTACACCGCGTGCGGGCGACCAATTCTTCAGTGCAGCAGTGACGATCACATGCAAGCGGCGAGGTTGTGGTGGTGGTGGTATCGATGGACTTCACCTCTTCGTGGTGGTAGTAGTGGTGGTAGTTGAACTGCACGTCGAAGTTGATGGTGGTGATGAAGAGATGGTGGTGGTGGTGATGATCTTCGAGTGAAAGTGAGAGTGAAAGAAGCGAAATTTTTGTGAAGTCGAGACTTCGATCAGTATGTCAGTCAGTGAGGCAGACAGTCTTCGTGGTGGTGGTGGTGGTGATTGCACACACACATGTGTGTGGTAGTCGACTTCAATGTCACAGCAGCAGCAGCAGCAGTGAAGATATCCACAGAAGCAAACACATACACACTCAAGTTCGAGTGCGAGTCTGCCGTACAGCAGCAGGAGAAGCAGCAGAAAACGGTAAGGCAGTGGTCGTTGCTGCTGCTTCTGCTTCTGGTACACACCACTCTCTATATAGTAAGGAAGTAGAGGAAAGAGAGATCGAGGGAGAGGCACACTTGCGATTCAGGTATGAGCCGCTACCTCAGAGAGTGTAGGCCATGCTTCGTGATGAAGCAAAAAGAACTTCTTCTTTTTCTGCTACCATTGGATAGGAAGTGATAGTGTAAACGGGCGTGCATGTGTGTGTGGCTGCATCAGCGGCGTCTGTGAGTGCGCGGAAGAATTTTGATCCTTCTTCTTCTTCTCCTTCCTTTCATTCATTTTCAGCTGCCATTAAATTCGGCAGTTTGAGTTTCNTTCTTTTTCTGCTACCATTGGAAAGGAAGTGATAATGTAAACGGGCGTGCATGTGTGTGTGGCTGCATCAGCGGTGTCTGTGAGTGCGCAAAAGAATTTTGATCCTTCTTCTTCTTCTCCTTCCTTTCATTCATTTTCAGCTGCCATTAAATTCGGCAGTTTGAGTTTCTAAATCGAGTGCACTAAAAGTGCACACCACGCGAGTTGTCAGGCAGAGAAGTCGTGGTGAAGACTGGTGAATACCAAAGGGAGGGAAAGGGAGAGATTGCCGGTGGCAACTAGTGGGGAAGATGACTGTCTGCCTGCCTGCCAGAGTCGAGCATAATAACGAGATAATTAGGTTGTTGCAATTAGTGCTCGCAAGTGTGCCATGACAACGGGGGAAGGCGGCCAAGAGCCAGGAGACAATCGACTGATGGTGGCTGTCTGCTCGCCGTCTGATGTAACCGGACGGAAAGTGTCGATGGGAGAAACGCCAACCCGTCTGAGTTGGAGAACAGCCTCACCAGGCGATGATGGTCAGATAGAGAACAAATGATTGACTTATTGCTGCTGATCTTCAAACGAGTATCAACAAACAAACAGGTGACAGCTGGTTTCCTGAAATAGAACAGACAAACATTGCAAATGAATAAGGAAATTGAAATTAATCCACCAAACTTGCGAAACTTGTCACAAGGTATTAAAAGGGATCCTAAAAACAAGCGGTGCCAGCTTTAGAGATAAGAATACTTACCCGATAAGCACAGAACCCAAAACCGAATCGATAATCTAAAAAAAGATTTCGAAAAGCGCGATTTTTTCTAGACAAAATGCTGCCACTATTTCCACAGTGAAGAGGCCAAACAAAACCACCACTATTTCCACCTGTTCCAAAACGCCCACCAAAACAAAACTTTAAAACTCCAACAAAAACTTCTCTCCAGGGCATCAAACTTCTTTTATTTTATACAAATACAAATAATAAATAATAAATAGCAGTGTAAAAAGGTGTCAAACTTGTGTTGTACTTGGTTGACAATTTCTGTCAGATTAGTGTTTATTTG